TGGGGCACTCCCATTATCTATACATATAAATAAAATTGGAGTGTTTGTTGGTAATATTGAAATAACAGTTATTTACTACATGCATACAAATATAAATACGTTACATACACCAAAATAACATTTTTTATCAATTTTGTCTGTCTGTCTGTTTGTTCCGGCTAATCTCTGAAATGGTTGCACTGATTTTGACGGGACTTTTTTTGGCATCTGGCTAAAATAAATAGTCTTGTACGCCGTTTGGTAGGCTTTTACATTATTTTATTGTAAAACTAATTTTATTTTTTATTTCTTAACTCAAGAAGTTTTGTTTTGCTTAGATGTTTTTTTATTTCGTTAGTTACTGAAGTAACAGGTACAGGTAAATAATACTTATTTATGCAATTACCTTTCATTAGACGTTAAGAAGAATTTTAAAATGTTGATAACTGTTTATCTAGAACAGGGGTGAGCAACCTTTTTTATCAACGGGCCAATTTAAATTTTAAATATTTTGACGGATCGCACCTAAAGTAACACTTATTAATAATAATTAACAAAATTATTTGTAATGTAATGTAATTTATTTGTAATAAATATTTACATGATATTGAGACACAAAACCCTCAATAATGTAGGGTATCCGGCCTTTTTACCAATATGTCCCGCCAAACTGGATGGTCTGTCCGGCTATTAGGATTGGCGAAGTGACAACCCTACACCCAAAGAAAAAATCGACTGACTCATTATAACAAAGTAAAATCGTGGAGTCGTCTATGAATTTATACAAAAATTAAATATTGCTGTAACTTAATTCTTTTACTATTTCAAGTAATGTAATCATTTAGTTACCCTTTTTACATTTTTTACACTATTTTATTTACTTATACGAATAAATGTTATACGTACTAATACTAATAATATATAATATTGAATCCAAAATAAAGTATTTTTTTCTCAATGTTACTACATATTTAGTGTAATCAAAAAACTTATTGATTGTCAATAATTTCACAAAAATATTATTTAATTAATCATTGTTGTCTGTCCGACTATATGTTGGAGTATCACATAAATAATTGTGACATATTTTCAACTTTATTTTCTCCGATAAGTACTTTTTATCTGTAGTAAGTCTAGGTAAGCACTTGTCTTTGTAGCTATGGAAAGCAAAACAAAGTAATGGTGAAATATTTGGCTTCGATTATACTATACAGGCTTTCCCAGAACTCAATTTCAAGCAGTGAGAGAATTGATTGTAACCATCATGAGAAAAATCAGAAAAAAATCTATCCCATGCAGTTTGAAAATTAGGAGCATTAAAGAAAAACTTAGAAATTTGGTCAAACTATAACCATTATTCGGTCATTGTGCTTAATTTTTATTATTTTTATTCATTTAAACTTTGGAACCATAAAGCCAAATAACATTTCTAGAATCACAGTAAAAAATAATGACACAATTGCCCCAAGTTTTCTAGAATTAAGACTATTTGTTAAACTACATTTAAAATTTTCAAAAATTGTAGAGTTTGAAAGGCCCTCTTTTAAAAAAATGTACTAAAGTTCCTTGGCAAGTGCCATTAAAAGTTCGGACATTTAATCAGGATTGTAAATGTACAATACTTGTTAGTTTCATACTAAAAAAAAACGAGAAAAAAACCTCTAGTAACCCGATTTTTGCTAACCTATTTTACTCCGTTCAAATGTTTCTTATTCACACAAGCTTATAGTAGTAGGTTCTTAATTTTACGGCAAAATGATAAGAGAAATGGGTAGTGGACATGTTGTCGTGAGCGAGCGAGACAGATGTGCCACCCAGTGAGACGGAGATGCGTCATTTAAACGCGCGCGAATGAAACAGATACAGTCGCCATACCAAGCAAATGGCTACGCTACCAGTCTGACACCAGTTAGTACATTTTGCTCATTCTGTTTCAGCTTCAGCTCAGCCTACTGCGCGTCTTTCCGTATTCGCTGTTGTTGGCTTCTCTTTTTGGACTTGGATTTTTGTGAATTGAACTTGTTGATTCCATACCGACAACTTTGGGTTGTCTCTTTTGGAATTGGACTTTTGTGTTGGTATCCTTGTTATTTACTTCACAAAAAATTGCGAACAAGCACCTCATTTATGAGGAATGCAGATGCAATGCAATTGCTGCCGCTAGGCTTTATCGTGAAAGATATCCAAATTTAGAGCGCTATCCAGATCACTGCTAATATGTACCGGCCGCACTCACGGAGGGCGGCCATTTCCCGAATCAAATACGGGCTGGAGGTAGAACTCGCTTTCCTTATTAGGAAGAAGTGTTGCAAAAGGTCGCAGATGACCAAAATATTTTCGTTTGTACACAAACGAAAATACTTTTCTTCTTTTTTCTTTTTTTTTTTCTTTTTCCCGTTCTTTCTTATTGTAATAGCACAGCACATCGTATTTTACAAAGACCCGAAATGCATCCGTTTCACGTACAACGAGTTCAAACTTTTCGTCCTCAATATTATCCTTATTTAAATAAACCTAAACTAGGTTAAGATTTTTCTTTATTTTAATTATTTTACTTACTTTTGTTGACTTTGATAAAAGTGGCGTCATATCTGTCTCGCTCACTCATGGCAAACATGTCCACTATCCATCTCCCTTATTGTTTTGCCGTAAAATTAAGATTCCTTGGTAGGTCCAAGGAAATAAATAAATAAAAAAGTGAAATAATGAAAAGTATTATATAAATTTATTAAAACGTATGTATTAATACGTGAAGTAATAACTTTGTATCCGGTTTACGAAAAACAGCGCGGACGGATGAATATGAAATTTCGCGTACTTATAGTTTATATAGAGAAGGTTTGCAGAATAGTCATATTTTTTTTATTTAAATTATGCATAATAATATAAATAATCATGTTCAAACCTATAATTATTCAATAATTTCATTTGTATGAAGTTAATAGATCTTTTATGATTAGGTTGTAATTGTTCACGTCCTTTTTACATATAATTAAAACTTAATATTTATTATAATAATTTATAAATTACTGTAAAAGTTTTACTATTTTGTCATAAAGTGTATATCTTTACGTACTTTACTTACATATAATGTTAAATTACTTACGCATTTTTAAAAGTATACTTTCTAAAACATAAAGAAATAATGTCCACTACGCGTATCAAATAAATAAAGTCACATACATTATTACTAAATTTAGGTTTATTGTATCAAATATATAATATATATAGATTTTTTAATTGATATACCTATCATTCACAGAAACGCAGACTTACTGTCTCTTTTATAAAGTAACTAACCTTCGTATATTTTCACATTTCATTTAACGTAAGTACGTTAATGTAGTATACATTAAAATATCTAGGGCAAATAAATAAACGTCGTAATTACCAATTACAATATATACGAAAAACACAAAGATTATTTTTTTGGTGTTTCTTTCAAAGATAGTAATAAAAGCACTAGTTTACGTTACGGGAATATGTAACTCTACCTCAATATTTCTATTTAATTCTTTACTTTAAGAATCTTTATAATTAATTCGTATCGTAGTTAGTTCCACTGTATTGTAAATTCTAAAATATCAATGTGCCTTCATAAATATAAATTATATAAACAAACAGGAAGACTCCGTAATAGTTTTGTTCAATTGGGGACCGAAGCTTCGTCTACTTGATTCACGCGTTACATTGCGACACGGACGCGTGTTCGTGATATCGTGGTACGGGGAGAGCGAGCGAGCGCTGGCGGTCGATCGGCGATACGTAAAACTATCGGGGTGCATGAGGTGCGCAGAGCGCGGGGCCCGATTTTGAAGTAATAGTTTATCACGGCGTCGCCTTAACATCCATAAAGAAAACGGTAACACGTTCTTCAACCTACCATAGATAAATTTTTTTTGGCGAAATTTTTGCGCGTTTTTGGACCTTAGGTTAAGTTTTTGTGTAAACAAAGTCAATCTATTCATATATCTATATATCCATCTTGTTTATTTATGGAATTATAACGATTGTGTTAAAAATAGTAAAGACGTGTTTTAATCATCTATTTTAGATTTACAGTTACCTTGACATTTTGTGTTTTTGACCTGTTATATGTTGTACTTGTTATTTGGAGTCTGAATGTTGTCCTTATTTGTAACTAACTGTACCTGACTACGTCCGCGTGGATTTAACTTTTTTAATTATAAAGGAACTAAAATTAAAATCTAAGTTACTTCATATTACGTTAGCATTTCAAAATTCATCCAGAGATAGACATTACCAAAATACAGACTTTTTTAAATTAATTTATGGATATCTATGTATATATGTTATCTTGAAAGTATAGAACTTTCAAGAAAACATATCTATGACTAATTGTAAGTAAATATTTTATTACTACGCGATTGCTCCTCATCCGCTTTCGTATATATCTTACGTACCGTAAATCATAAATCATAATCATATAGGTAAATAGACTATACGTCATATATATATATATATAGTATAAAGAAATGTATATTTCATTATTTGTAACAGTTGTCTATTTATCCATAACACAAGGTCATCTTTGCTTAGGACTAGATAGTGCTGTGTCAATTGCCTAGGGTTATTATTATAGATTTATACAATATAGATTTTAATTAAATCAGAATTATTATTCAATGTTTAATAGTTAACTAAAGTATTCATTTATTCAATAAACAAATTACGCATAAATCAGCAGTTTGTATATATATATATATATATATATTATTGCATTTTTATCGTCGGATAAATACATTCTGTTTAACAAAATGAGATTATGTCAAGTTTATGATTAGGTTACTCAAAATAAGAACAACACAGATAAAAAATAAAATTGTCTATTGTCAAAAGAATTGAATATTTAAAATAAAAATCCAAATTCAAAATATACTATGAACGTGTAAATTATTTATTCAAATATAATTCGACGCGTTCTCGAACGCATTCTTACGCCTGTCAAAAGGTCATGCAGGTGGAAAAAAAAAACAGTTGTGTTACAATTATTTACTTACCCGTTCACTGTCAGCTGTGCACCTTGATCCATTATCCTATTTTGCACTAAACAACTGGGCGTCTCCATTTTCGCGGTTATATGATGAGCTTCAACATCCTCTAAGATAGCGGCACGGTCCTCATTACTATTATTTAACTTATCACTCGACAAACTCTTAGATCGGTACCTTGCGTTAATTGGAGCTAAACTCTTATCAGCGAATGCACTAATAGTGAGACCGTTTAGTTTCGTATCGTTCTGATATTTATCACATATTATATTAGTTGACATCTCGCAATACTTATGCAAATAAAGTATGAGTATAATAGAACAACACTCGATCGTAGAAGGCAGTCGCGCTCTCTCGACTGCGGCGGAACACCGATCGTAATAAACTGACGATCTTAGAGAGAATCCGAATGTTATGCCAACCGCTAACAAAACAATTCCACTCGACCGATTTCACTACGACATTGACGCCTATTGTATTCCGATCTACCTACTAGATATTTTAAATAGGCGGTTAGTATCGCAAACGCGTTGAAACATTGAAAAAATAGCTTTTTACAATTTAATGATAACTACAATCATTGTGGTATATACTAAGATCTTTTGTGATGGATAAACAATTGGAAGTAGGTACGTCTGCCTTTGCCTAGATTTTATAGATGAGGAAGTAAAGAAAAAAGTGGCCGGAAATTATCTTCGTGGGTTTTGTGCCACTGGTCAAATAAAGGAATATAGAACCGTACAAAAGGAATTAGGTTAATACTCACTTCCTTAATGACAAATAGATTATATGACCATAACGTGATAATTTGTCACCTTTTGCAATACAAAAAAAAACATACGCTCCAACACAATGAACAGATTTTGCTGAAGACTATGTCAATCAAACACACGTTTGAATATAATAAAATCATACAATAATAATAATATTGCATAATTTACACATACATACAAAATACAGATCGATACAAACAATCATACTTACGAGTACAAATGTTTGAGTCGTACGTGGAATCGATCCCGCGACCAACGGAAGAAAGGTGGTGTGCTAAATTACTAGACCACCGAGGTCTTCAAACATTAAAATTAGACAATGAGTTGAATATCTACTAGTAGTTTTAGTACCGAGGTGGACATTGCACGAAGTCTTTTTGAGTTTGTACCTCTGTCTCGCCTATTTCAGCCTCTAAACATCTTAGTTTAAAAGAAATGTTTCGGTTGTATGGTGAGATATGGTAATGAAATTACTAATAGTCATCTGGTATGCGACTTTCTTTACTTCCTCAGTTATAAAATCTAGGCAAGGGCAGACGTACCTACTTCCAATTGTTTATCTGTGACAAAAGATATCTTAGTATATACCACAATAGAGTGGTATCACTGCATTTCAATTTCAATTACCATTACAGTTAATGGTAACGTGAGGTAACAAGATGAGGCAGACCGTAAGCTTGTACGCCATTAAAGTTTCTTAGAAAAATTCAATGTTAATAGGCTTTTCTATCCCAGTGTAGTTAGCATCGGAAAAGAAGCAACGTGAGAAGACAAAGATCATATTAGCAATGAAAAAGAAGCAACGATAGATAACAAGACTACTTTAGCAACTAAAGATGTCAAGACTAATTTAGCAACGAACAAGAAACGATGAAAGATGACAAAGACTTGAAACTAGGACAGGTCAGATAGCATGTACAGAGTTACGTCAACAATAACAACAACTATACACGTATTCAGTTAAGATTAAGTGATTCTAGATCAGTTAAGGAAACACATAACACGAATCCTGACTATAATGTAACCTAAGTTAGGATTCAAGTTACTTCATGGCAAAAAGTCTTTAGCCCATGAATTCTTCCGGTTACAACTTATGACATGACGCAGGAAATCAAAGCCTAAGTATAGGGCAATACTTGAAAGGGCTTGAAAGTAATGGGAACTAGTGAAAGTAGTCTATGATTTCCATCAAAATAACATTTTGAATAGTGAGTTACAAACTTCATAGCATTATATCGATGCACCATGCTCCATCGTGTGTCAGAGAGGGAAATTCCGTTCCGGGGACTTGCGACCTGAGTGTAGGTTTAAGTGGCTCTTTGACACACCTTCACCTTTACTGCTCGTGTTTCTCTGCCTGAACAAATCTGATAAGAGACTGCTACTGTAGTTTTAGGCATACATTCTTCATTTCAAATTTTATTGTGTTATATTTCGCAAGAAATGAACCCCGGTGATCATCGGAAGTAAAACGTTACGTCTATTACTACTTGGACCACCGAGGTCGTCAATTCTTACTATCACCATACGGAAAACAAGAATAAGGAAAATTATACCAACAAAAACCCTACTGACCAAAATGTTTTCTTCTTATGGTTCTGTACCCATAAGAGGAATCTCTACCCGTGAATCCATGACCATTAGAATGGTTTCGTATTACTAACACCTGATCATTTCCACGTAGCATTTGCCGTGAATATTAAAATGCTGCAGCGCTGCTTCCGAGGCTGGAGTCTTGACCTCAAAAGGACGTGATCAGCGTTGATATATTAATTTAATGACAACTAATCATCTACTAACACTACCAGTGACTGTATATTCTGTGTGTTTATACCTAATCCTTGCCCTATTTCTTGTTGTGGTATGACTAAATGTCATTTACATTAATACTACTGGTCGCTCAATAGTCGAAGTTCGACCAGAGTTAATTTAAATTATAAGTTTGAATATTATGAAGGGGCTATTGTCAAAGACTATAACTTCTATGAGTGTGTGTCAAAGTATGGTGGTGTGTGTAATTGATTTCGTGTATTTATATGCAGAATTAAAAAGAATAATAACATTCAGCACTTCTTCTCTATATAAACTATAAGTGTGCGAAATTTTATATTCTTCCATCCGCACAATTTTCGTAATAAGGGGTACAAAGCTTTGGCTTCACGTAAAAATATAAAGATTACGAGGACATTAATATAAGTCCAAATTCGTGTAATTTCTTATTAACCTATAGAATCCCACTGCTGGGCAAAGGTCTCTCACATTTAATCTATTCTGCATCACTTCGAACTAGCATTTACTTCCGAAGATTACGAGTATTATTCTTCGTATGAAAACATTTGTATCCATCAGCATGATTGTTTGTATTAATCTGGGTATTTTTATGTTATTTATAAATAAAATATTATATATGTATTTCTATCAGCTGTTTAGTACCCTCAATGGTTTAATAACTTGGAACTAGGCGCTGTATTAATTATCCAGCATCATTACTATTACAGTTTTACTACATCTCATCTACTAAAATATCTGTAACCTAGTGTTTGGTAAGTGTTAGTACGCTATAGTTATTACATATTTACTATGACTCACCTAGGAATATGTCTGCCATCACTAGCACTATCAATCTCATTTAACTCACACCCTATAAGTGTTATGTTACCTTCACTATACCGAGCCATATTTTCATCTCTGATTTTTAATTAACAATTTCAAAATGACGTAAAACTTGCTATTCACTGAATAGACGATAAAAAAACGCATGACACACGAAAGTGCTGCTCTATAGAATATTAACACACTAATATACCATAGAGATGAACTGTAACAACCCAAAACTACGCTGTACATAGCTAATACTTAATTTGCAACGCACTTTACAAATGTGAGATGTCAACTACATTTTTAACTATAACTCTTATTACTTTATCGTTAAGATTTATAATAAATATAATAAGGTTCTATATAACTTTGCAGATGAGGTATCGTCTTCATTACTGATTCGTTACACACTTGTAAATATAATATTATAGCCGGTATTGTTGACAATTCGTTGGAAAATTCACTTTGTTTGACGCGGGCTTCGTTGGTCTCATATGACTAGGTGTCGAATCGGTTGTACTTCGTGTTTTAAAGACTTGTAGCACTTCAATGAAGAGGCTAACACTCGATAATGTATCAATGACTTTATAATGACGTTTGTAAATAGATTGTAATTTGAAGCCTCGAGAATATCAACTAGAGAAGACAATAGTATTAATGCACTATTCGAGTATAATTGATTCATGAAACCTTTGATAATAATAATTAATATTGTGGTATACGCTATAAAGTGTAAAAAATCAGTAAAAGCTGAGTTAAAGAGAAAGTAACAATAAACTCAGGACAATTCACACAGCGCCATCTAGACCCAAGTTATGCTAGCTAAAGCTTCTGTTATGAGTACTAGATAACTGATACAAATACATATATTTTCTTTTTTTGTAAATACGTTCTCGTACATATTATATTATACAAAGAATACATCCAGACCGACACAAACAATCATACTCATGAATACAAAATGTTCGTGCCGTGCGAGGAATAGAACCCGCGACCATCGGAAGTAAGGCGGTGTGTTAAATCGCTAGACTACCGAGGCTTTCTTTCCATCTGATGGGAAAGAAATATTTCTTTTATGTAATTCACAAAAAAGCTGTAGCCTGATACCTCACTTTCCCATAGTAGCCATTTTCCTAGATTACAACCAAAATGCAAAGAAAAACTACTTCTTTACACATTCATTTCTTACAATATATATTACTAGCTGTCCCGGCAAACGTTGTTTTGCCTTAAAGTAAAAAAAAAAATTAGGGGTGGACTACCCCTAACATTTAGGGGGATGAAAAATAGATGTTGGCCGATTCTCAGACGTACTCAATACGCTCACAAAATTTCATGAGAATCGGTCAAGCTGTTTCGGAGAGTATGGGAACGAAAACTGTGACACGAGAATTTTATATATAAAATGTATATAAATATACCCTATAAATATAATATATAATGTATCTATATCACATAGGGGTAGGGCAATTAAAAAAACAGATTGGGAAAAACTGGTTTATCATATTCAGCTTCCATTTGTTTTATTATATTTTTTGCATAGTTTCAGGGTTCCGTTTCCGATATGGATGTTATCATCTGTCATTCAGGGCGCACGTCACAAACAGATGTTGTATCTAATATTTTATTTACCTAATCTGTATAAGATGTGAGCAAATACACCATTACGCCATGCAGATGTCTCTTATCTCCTATAATATATTACAATAAGATAAATGTATAAGAACAGGTTAGACAATTATGAAGTTGTTATTTTCAAGAAATTTGTCGGCTACAGAATAGCTACTTTAATATTTGTATTTGTAACTAGCGTCCCGCGTATCCACCTGTACCGTCAGGCAGGAGTTGGCCTCCAGCCGCTCCATAAGTCCTTCCGCGGGTTTGGAGTGCCATCTGCACTCGCCCCCTAACGTTCGGTGAAGCTGTAAAGGCCAGCTGCGGCCAACAGCATTAGAGTAGTCCGAAAAAACAAAAAGTATCCACCTGGGTTAAT